GAGTAGAAAGCCTCATCTTTCTCCCGCGGAGCGGCTGGTAGTTTCGAACCACTGACCTTAAGGTTCGCAGCCCGATTCATAACCACTACGCTACAGCAGAAAGACTCATCTTTCTCCCTAGCAGTGGTAGGTGGATAAATGAACTGCTGACGAAAGTCCAGAAAGGTCAAGTAGCTTGAGTTCTAGGTTATTCAAACGGGGTGGTGGTGAGGTGGGGGTACGGTGGGATTGGGTGGGGATCAGTACAGGAGTCAATCAATCCCAGATAGGTGGCTCTTGGAGCCGTTCATGGAATTTCTACATCCTTTCTTTGTTGTTGTTGTGAAGTGCCGTCAAGTCGGTTCTGACTCATAAGGACCCTGTATAGGCTTTCTGAAGATGGGTTGGTGGATTTGAATCACTGATCTTGCACGCAGTTAAACAAACCTTTCAGTCTAGCACTTATCCTACTGTGCCTCCCAGGACTCCCATTCTTTCTTTAGAGCTCAGAATTCACCTGTGTGTGTGTGTGTGTGTGTGTGTGTATTCTTGGTTATTTTCTGTCTTTAGCAAGTTGGATGTTGTTGTTGTTGTTGTTAAGTGCTGTTGAGTTGGTTTTGACCCATAGCGGCCCTGTATAGGGTTTCTGAGGATGTTGTTAAGTGCCATCGAGTTGGTTCTGACCCATAGCGACTTTGTAGATTCTGCTTATTTAAACAAACCCACGGTCCCTGAGTCAATTCCAGGGTTTCCGCAGCTGTAAATCTTTACTGAAGCAGACAACCTCATCTTTCTACCCTGAAGCGGCTGTTGGTTTGAACTGCCAACCTTGTAGTTAGTAGTTCAGTGTTTATCCTATAGTGGTTGTTGTTGTTGTTAAGTGCCGTTGAGGTGGTTTCGACCCATAATGACCCTGTATAGGGTTTCCATGGAGCAGCTGGTGGAATCGCTGACCTTGTGGTTCAGACTGACTTTGCAGTCCAGCATATTAACCCACAGTGCCACACCAGGATTCCTCCTATAATGGTAGGAAAAATAAATAAGTGACACCTGAAATAATACTATTTATTGAGCAATTACTATATGCCAATCTTTTCTCAAATGTACTCACTCAGTCCTCACAACAACCCCATGAGGTAGACAATATTACTGATCCCCACTATATGCAGGCAAATCTGCCACACAAGACCTTTGTGAAGTGTTGAAGAGCAAAGATGTCAGCTTGAGGACTAAGGTGCACCTGACCCAAGCCATGGTATTTTCAATAACCTCATGTGCATGCAAAAGCTGGACAGTGAATAAGGAAGACCGTAGAAGAATTGATGCCTTTGAGTTATGGTGTTGGAGGAGAATATTGAAAGTGCCATGGGCTGCCAAAAGAACCAACAGATCTTTGTTGGAAGAAGTGTAGCCAGAATACTCCTTGGAGGCCAGGATGGCCAAACTTTGTCTCTCAGACTTAGGACATATTGTCAGGAGAGACCAGTCTCTGGAGAAGGATATCATGTTTGGTAAGTTGGAAGGTCAGAGAAAAAGAGGAAACCCCCCAGCGAGATGGATTGGCAAAGTGGCAGCATCAATGGGCTCAAGTGTGGCAACAATTGTGAGGTTGGCCCAGGACCGGGCAGTGTTTCGTTCTGCTGTACATAGGGTCACTATGAGCCAGTACCGTCTCGATGATACCTAACAACAACAACTTTATGGATGGGAAGACCGAGGCATAGGAAGGTTCAATGATAGTTCCATGTTGCCAAGCCAGTCAGATCTACCTAACCACTAGACCTACCATCTTGTGGCCTGGGACCAGGGGAACCTGTTCTTGCCCTAGGAATACCCACCACCCTCTTACTGTCAGTGGACATACCCAGAAGAGTTGTGGGAGGACAGGGGTCTTAACAGCACCAGCTCAGGGGTCACACCAATCTGGGTTTCAGGTCTGTGTGGCCTCAGGCAAGTCACTCAACCTCCCTGGTCCTCAATTTTTCTGTTTGTCAAGTGGGAGCAGCTTCCTGTGAGTGGAGAAGACTTACTGAGACAATGGTAGACAAAACACACCCTGTTTAAGGTTGGGAACAGGGTGGGTATTTCACGACAGTTGGCAGGCTTGGGGAGGGGCTTTGGCTCAAGGTTCTTGGTCTGCCCTTGAGCAGTGATATGGTTTGAACAAAGCTTTTCAGCTCTTAGTTTCCTCACCTGTGAGTGGGGATGATGAACTTCGTGATTGAATCTTTGAAAGGGCAGAAGCAAAGCATTGCTTGGTACAAAGCAATGACAAGGGCAGACCTAAATGAGAATTCACAAAACAGGACTCTCTCCAATTCAGGATGAAGAGAATGAGGGTGCTGACAACAATGTCTTCTTCTTCAACTTCATCTTGGTCTCCATCTCCTCTTCCACTTTCTTCTCTTCGTCCACCTCCTCTTTTCTCCTCTTCCTCCTTCTTTACCATGTAACTGTGTGTCTCAGGGTGATGACAACAGTGATGATAGCTAGCTTCCTCTTCCTCCTCCTTTTCTTCTTTTTTTAACTACTCAGTTGTGTGCTAGGCTTTGTTCTAAATATTTTACATGGGTAGCCATCCTGAAAGGAAATCTGGTAGCGTAGTGGTTACAAATTGGGCTACTAACCTCAGGGTCAGCAGTTCAAAACTACCAGCTGCTCCGCGGGAGAAAGATGAGGCTTTCTGCTCCCTTAAAGATTTATAGCCTCGGAAACCCTGTACAGGGTTGCTATGAGTTGGAACCAACTCCATGGTACATAACAACAACAACAACCATCCTGACCTTCCTCCAAGGCATTTTGCAGAAACAGAAACTGAGCCACAGAGAGGTTAAGTCATTTGCAGAACATTACACAGCTAGACAGTGGCTAAGTCTGAACCAGAATTCCAACCCTGGCAGTTAGCAGTCTGATGAAAGGAAGCTGAGGTCTGACTGAGAACTAGCCCCGTGTGCCCCCTGCTGGCTCCCCTGCTCCTGTGTCCACACCCCCTCCCCAGTGCTGCATAAACATCAGGGTTATCATTAACCAGGGACTGCTGGTAAACCTGGGGTGCAGGGCCACTGGAGGCAGGGAGGAGAGCCTTCAGACTGTCAGGGACAAAGAAATCTTTCCAGCTGCCTGGACCCTCTGCGGTCACACCTGTGTTTGTGTGTGTGTGTTTCTACCTGTCCTGAGTTTCTGTTCTCCAGAACATGGACCATGTCTGGGCCTGTGTCTGACTCTTTTGGGGAGGGAGCATCTTCTGACCTTGTCCATCAGGGGAACTATGGGAAAATTAGCTCCACTCTGTTGAAACATGATTTTCTGATCTCCAACATCAGTTAATAAAGGGGCATGTTTGTTACGTTCAGGGACCTTTGAGCCCTGCAGGGGTTTATACATGTGATTTCTCCATTTTATAGGAGGGGAAATGGAGGCTCAGAGAGGTCTTATGGACTAGCCA